CAGCGTATTGAATCAGTGTCTGAATTTGGTACATGCAAATAATATAAACGATTGAAAACTAACTCTTCAACTTTCTTTTAATGCTGTTATTTTCTTTGTAGGTGTGGTAACTCCTCGTTGACAGGGATTAATTTTAATAACCATTCCCCCAGGGAGATCAGAAAAATCAAACTATTAGTTGTGGTGAGCCAACATRGTGTGTAAAAAGAGAGGCAATTAAAGCTGCGCTGTCATCAGGTCAGCAGGTTTGTGCTGTGGTTTATCTCATTCACTTTCAGTTGCAAGAAACATGTAAATGTCCTAAAAAGTTTTGCAACTCTTGTTCCCAAGAGAACAGCATCTTTTTTTGGGTCATTTTTAGCGCTTTCTTTATCAGTATTTTGGTAATGTAATGTTGGCAGTACAAGAAAAATATTCTTTCAGAGAAACACTCAGCAATTCCTTCCAGCGTAGTCAATGTTAGTAGTGTCAAGTCTTACCTAAATAAACCTACAGTGTTTTGGTTTGATTTGTTTTGATCTGGCTCATGGTTTAACCCTTTCTAAAAGCTCTGTGCTGCTGACAGTTTTTAGTTGGGAGCTAATTGGAGAAAAGGACAGGTAAGAATTCACRGCTTGTGGGGAGAAAACAGGCATAGTCATTACAGTACTCAGCTGGAAATGTGGAAGTTATGAATGTTGGTCTGATTCCAAGGCCTCTTCTCATATAAGAAATAGTCACTGCATAAATTACAGAAGCAGGTTTCTCCAGGTAAAAACAATAATATTTTTCCTTTGTATTTCAAGTGATGGCCTGAAAAATGCTGGTTCTGACCCCCAACTTTTGTGACACATGTTTCTTTTTYCCCACAATGAAAGCATTGCCTTAGAGGTTAAAGTGTAAAGATTAGGGCAAAAACTTGGGTTGACATCAAAAGAGCAGAATTTCAGTTAAAATACTTCTTCACAGTGGAAAATGCTATTGCTCAACCTAATTTCTTCCCTGGGGATCAAAGCATTCACCTAGGAGACAGCAGCTCTAGGCAGTTTTTCCTCAAATTACAAGGTATTCCTCTGGGCATGTTTTCCAAAGGAATGAACCCTGCCTGGTGATTTGAAGGAGTCATTGCAGAGGTGATGATTTCTTTATCAGCTGAAGTGAGCAGAGAGTAGATGCAGGCGCTGCCTGGCAACCCAGAGCAAGGCAAAATCTGTGATGGGTATGATCCCTAGGCACATTCTTCTCCCAGGTGCTCCCTGGTGGTTAGCTCCAGGTGACTCTCCTTTCATATATGAAATATTTAGGTCGAAGCCATTTTCTGAAGCATCCAGCTTGGGAGAGGAAAATTTGGCATCTTGTTCTGCAGTTTGGCTGCTCTGTGCTTTGCAGATCTGCTACCTCAAGCAAAGGTGTCATGGCACCTGTCATACATAGATGTGTTCTTGGCTGAGGAATGAAKAAAATCCACTCCCAGATGCTCTGAAGAATTGTGGTGTGTGGAAGAAGGAAAAAGGCAAGATGAGTGCCAGGGACAGTAGTGGGCCTTCATCACAACAGTCCACAAAAAGTTTGACTTTGCAAATGACAGCTTACACTGTGCTTAACTCCACCTTTATTCACTTTAGAGAAAAGTGTGGGTTTATCAGTTGTAGGATAACCCCAAACAGTTTCATATCCAATAAAATTCTAAGAACTTTTCACCCCTAGTCATCTCAACTTAATGGCTATGGCAAGAACAGTCAGAGAAAAAAGGAATTGGATGACATATCTCCTCAAACATCAGTGTAGAGATGTCCATACCTAATAACACACTTTACAAATAACCTGAAATACCTTTATATGTGTCTCATAAGCCTTAGAACATTCTGGATACTGATCCAATAATATATTTCATGGTTTAATTTTGATTTCTTTAAAACTCCATACAAGATAGCTTAGTTGGTCTATAAAAACTTAACTGAGCTTCTCAAATTCAAGTTCAGAATACTTTGTTCATAGCAAAYTAATAAATAGGACTTCTTATTGTAGAAAAATTCAGCAAGTAAGGGTCTCAATAATGTTATTTGAAAAATAAATTTATTGAAATGAAAAAAAAAAATTAATAAATGATGACATGCCACCCCAAAAGGGGGGACTTTACACAATCCAAATATGTTGTTTGGGAGACTCTGAATGCTCTCATTGCAGCAAGACCAACAAAGTTTATCTGCGTTTACAGCAAAGAAATTATTCTTGCAGATGTAATGGGGAAACTTTSATTAAAGTATCCTATTTCATATTAGGAATCTCTTAGATCATTAGTTTATGTGGTACCAAGACACTTACCAAACTTATAAGCTGAAAGTTTGGTTTCTAAGTCACAGTTTTGGAAACTGCAGTAGCTGTTCAGAAAAATCTATCCTTTAGCTGATAGAAACCCTAAAGAGCTGCAAAGATGTGTAATGTATGTGCTTTTGTTCTCCAAAATAGGATAGAGAGAATCCATCAACAAGCCTTTTGTATGTGCATGCTGTTTCCTTCCTCCCCTCAGCACTTAGGTACCTATAAAGCAGCTAAAATCAACACATAAAATGTAGGTCTGAAAGGGCATGTGTGAAAAGAAAGCATTTTGGGCTAAGGATGTGTTTCAAAGCACTGACTGTACTAACGATCTGTCCAGTAATGTATCAGCTGAAGTAAAAGCATGGGGTTTGGTCTTTAGGTGAGCAACAGATTTGGAACAAGACAGCATTTTAACTTGAGATAGCATTCACAATTTGATGCTTCCCTGCTGATAGCAGACATGATTAACTGAAGGAAGGGGGAATGGAAGGGAAGACAACAGCTTGGGAAAGGCGCTAATGGTGCTGTTGCCATTGCATTACCCCCAGCTGTGCTGTCTGTAAGCATCAGCATGGTAGCAACCACATACCTTCTTCTGCAACTGTAGAACAGGTAGTGTGACCCTGATAATATTTTCTGTCTCCCTGCATTTACACTACTCTCTTCAGATCCTGGYTCTGAATTAGAAATCCGCGTTTCTTTGCCTTTCCATCTATACTAAAATAAATTAACCATATTTTGTAACCAGTGGCCAAGGACAGGTGCATCACTGAATTTTCTTCTGGATGGTGTTAATTRAGCAAAACCAATAAAATAGGCATCRCCAACATGCACAAGAAGAAAACTCATTTTACAGAGCGCTAAAGCTTCAGGCGAGATTGTGGTTTTCCTATAAATTTATGYTCTCTATTGTATTAGCTACTGTGACGGAAATGTCAAGGGGGAAGCTGAAAAATGATACAACTTATTTTGAAGTATTTTAAAACCCAGTAATCTCTCTGTGATGAACACATATCTGCTTCAAAATGCTGGCTTTTGTTAATAACTTTCTGGAGCAGCATTTTTATAACTAATACCTATGAAAGAGGCAGGCGTTCTCTAAGCCCTTCACAAAGTTTGTACTGTGCGTCATGAAGTGATTTCATTATTTCTCAACATGAAAGTGCAGTTAAAAAATGTACACCCAAAAGAGAATATGGRGTAGAAAAGGTYATACTTGCCAAGTGCTGAATTGTTGAATAGRTTGGTATGGACTTTAGTGTGGTTTCTTATTTTACCCAATTTAAAACATAAGTTGTTGGAAGGCAAAATTAATATAGCCATTTAAACGAATTATTTTCCTTTTTACCTTCTTTTCCTGTCTAGGTTAAATATTTTAAATAGAGATCACACTGTACAGAAAAGGAGTATGTACATAGGCAAATTATTTTCTGTTTCTGCTAACAAACTTATTTCCACTGCCATCCACTGAAATGTCCCTTTTTCACTTTAGTAAATTAGTAATCAGCTGATGTAAGGTTTGTGGTAAGACCCCTATCTCATTCACCCTAGCAAGGGTACATCTAGAGAACTTATGTCAGATTGCTTTAGTTTTAGAGCAGCTGAATTTTACTCAGCTTGGATCCTCTGTTTTGGAAGAAATCTATTCAGTGGTAAATAAACCTCCACCTTCTCCCCAGCTCCCCTTGTGGGTGACTRACCCTTGAAAAATGACAGAGGCAACCTTGACTTGGTACAGAACATAGAATMATTTCCTCAACCAAGAAGTTAATTTTTTTTTGATTGTTTCTCTCTGTGTTTTTGCCTCGCTGACGTATGCAGCATACAAGATGTGTATGGCTCCAACTTGCTGCATCTTTTCTGAGTTTTGCAAGCAGGGAGGCTTTCCAGGGGCAATTTGCTTCTCTGGTAGTTATGTGCTGGCAGGTTATTTTTGTGGAGACAGTGGAAGCTGGAGCTGCTGGCACAGCTTGAGCAGTGGCTTTCTTCTTTAGCTCATGTCAGCCTCTCTTGAAGCCRTGCTGTGGGGCTGGAGGCATACCTGAACCATGAATATTAAGGTACATTTTGGGGGACAGAATTGGGTAGATTGTCAAGAAGCCATACAAAATTACTCTCTTTTTGTAGGCTGGTCAGTTCTTCATGGAAATCAACTGACAGCTAATACAAAATTAGGGTGGTTTTTTCCAGGTTGTTTTCTTGTCTGCTGTGAAACTCTCTGTGTTCAGATGCTGAAATACAAACTCTGTTGTAGACATTTGCTGAAAACATGTTGGCAATGTATTATTTATCTTAGAACAGTGTGAAAACAGTTTTTATGCCACAGTTGCATGTTCTCTGTTTGGATAGCAGAGTGCCACAGAACAGCCACAGCYTGTTGCTCACACGGTGTCCAGGAAGCAGTTGCCACCTTTGGGGTGAACATAACAGCACTGCTTGTGCAGAGRGATTTGTCTCCARTTATGACAGRATGGAGAGTTCCTTTAAAGGCCTTKTTGTWAARGACTTMWTTTTGTAYCAGAAACATCCTGAATTAAAAGGCTGAAGTCCAGAAATCTACCTGTAAGGCATGTGCTCCTCCATGTGAATTTGTAATCTGTTCATCTATTTTAGATGCATGCAAGTTTATCTTCCTTCTTGGCAACAGTTCAGCTTTCCCTCGGTGTTTTGCTGTAGTCAGCTGAAAAGCCAAATGTTGAGATCACTTTCCGGTTGTTTCTGGGTGTCTCTGGTATTCATCAGCCTCTTTTTGCTGTCCTGTAAGTAGCTTTTTCTTATGCTCTTTTCTTATGTGTGTCCATATTGTGCTCTGTACCTCTTTTAAGCTGTTTTTAAAAGATTTTAACAGGGTTTCAGAAGTATCTKCCATTCCTAAAGAACTTTAGTTAATGAGCTATGCTTGTTTTTTTACAGCCTTGGACAGACTAAGCAAACAGAGAAGTTCCCCTTTATGTAAATATTCATAGCCTTGCCAATGTACACTGCTTGCTGGGTTTTATACACTGGGAGTCATCTTTGTCTTTCCAGGCTCTCCTTTCAAACCCTAGAGCAAGCTTCTTGTTTGGTATAATAAATGTGATTAGATTAAAAGACAAAAAGGCTCCATATTATATGTTAAAATTATTTTCTTWGGCTGGGACTACCAGCGTTTTAGGGAGTTCCCTGCTGAGAACTAYAGAAATGAGTTCAGTTCCTCTGTGAGTGCATCTTCCTTCAGAGGGGCAGAGGGATTCATTGGGTGAAAYCATTTGTGTGGCCCTTAAAACACAGATTGTMAGATCAGTCCTGCAGAGACATCTGTGTCAAAGCCAGGTTTCTGGAGCTGTTTGTGACCATGAGGATTCTAAGATGGAGTACTGGACAGAAACAGCTCTGAATTGAGCAAGAATAGCTGATTTTTCTTGCCCTTAGCCTTCACACAGTCATCACAAATGTGAGGGACCTTACAATTGAGAGAGGAGTACTGACGCTTSTCAGGCAGGAACAAATTTTACTTTTTTTCCCTGTATCAGCATACATGAGCAGGGATTTTGTGGAGGGGTATCTGCAGGGATTTATTTTCTGTCAGTATTCTCCCTAATCTCCATTTCATTGAACAAATCTGTAGTGGYTAGATTGATGTTGTAAGGAGCAGAATGTGACCCGTGGTTTTAAAATGAGACTAACATACAGATCTGTTCAGTGAAAAGTCATGCCTGTTCATCTGCAATCAAGAAAATGCAGAATTATTTCTGCACTTTTTAAAAGAAAAACAKAAGTTAAAAATAAAACAAACCTTCTAACTGCTCATTTTGAAGTGTTTCTTTAGTAGCTCTTCAAGARCAAGAGGTCATCTGCAGAAAGAGACCCCAGAAATCTCACCATCTGCAGTTTTCCACACAGATTTATGCAAGGCTCTAGAGAGGAGGTGTAGGCTCTACTCATCTCCACTGCTGAGTGAAGTTTAGAAAAAGAGAATCCACCATCTCTAGGGATATGAGCTTTTTGGAAAAACCATGGCAAGAACCTTCTTATTTTTGACCTTTGGAATATACAGGCCTTAATGCAAAAGTAAATCCCAGTACATGAAACAAGGATTAAAAATTTTGGGTACTACAACATCAGCATAGTCCCTCAATGATCTGCACTTGCCAGTCAGTATCACTTCCAGGCTCTCTTTTGAAATTTTCTACTCATACTTCCACAAAAAAAGAACAAAACACTCCTGTGGAATTTTCATTTCCACTKAGGTCTGTGTGCTTCTGGGAAAGAYACATCTTTGTAGAACAAATCCTCTAAAATGCTCTTGCTGTTGGTTTTATTCTATCTAGAATCAGAAGTATCAGTTTGTGGAAGGATTCAGTCAGTGATAATGCCTATCTGATTTTTGCCTTTTCTCTCYTTCTGTGCGTAATAAGACAAAATGGAGGGAAAGGAAAAAGAATTACTTCTGAGGAATTTAAATGAAAAATAAAAATTATAAGAAGAYATTAATTTACACAGGTTGTCATCCTGTAACATGATTATGCTGAAAAAAACTAAAAAAAAATGTTCAGAGCTCATAGACATTTTAGAAGAGATCATTAGCTTAGCAGATGGGAAAAAGCTGTTTCTGAGCATTCTGCAGTTCCTGAATTCACACATAATACTGGTAGGTAATGCTCTGACCAAGCTCRTGGAGGTTGCAAAACCTTAAGAGGAGCCTGCCAGGGGGGGCTGWTATTTCCAGTTAAACATAAAATCTGAAGGCTACAAAATGTCAGTGCTGAACAGTAATCTTTATACAGTGGGAAATGGGCTCTTTTGGGCTTCTAGTTCCTCCCCAGCAGCGTGCMTTCAGAGAGGAATTGAAATGGCAGATGTGAGTAACTCCAAATGGCAGGTGTATCTCCCCCACTGCAGGTTGTGTTGCTCATTCTTCTGTGTTGCTGTGAGGCGGTTCATCTGTGGAAGAGCCTGGGGAAGAGCAGGGATGGTGGAGTCCTTTTGCTGTGGGCCTCCTGTCGGGCAGGGTGGGAGAGGCTGGGGAGGGGGACACTGGCATTTTCTGCATGGAGAGGGAATGTTTGTAAAGGTGGGAGTTTGCTGCCGTAGGACAAAGAAAGAGGAGGGAAGGCACTTGGTGCCATGGGAGGGTAGGAAAAGGGGAKGCAGGGCCCGTGTTTTATCTTTCAGGGTAAGAGAAGGAGAAGTTGAGGTGAAGGATGTCCCATCTACTACACGACTTCTGCGGCTGTTAGGGTTTGTCCGTCTTTGTCTCAGTGATGGATGAGAGCACAAACAAACAAACTTCCTGTGATGAATCCAAGCAAGGTGTGGGATTTCCTTGCCTCCTAACCTTTTAGCAAATGTCCTGTATCACTGAAGCTATCTACAGGCTCTTTCCAGAGCAAGGAAACCCAGTGAGGTTTGTGGGCTTCCACAGGTGAAACCAGCAAGTGAATATTTCAGAGGGATCAAAGAGCCTGGTGATTAAAGCAGTCACCATATCCATAGCAACTCAAGCTGACTGTCCTCCCACCCTGTGCCAGTCCCTGAATACTGGCAAGCAACTCTTCAGGAGCAGTCAGAGGTCTCTCTCTTGCCTAATAAAAGAGTTTCATTAAAACTGATCTGATTCAGGAAAGAAGTGGTTCCATCCCTGTGCTGTAAAAGTGCAGATTCTCCTCTTTGTTTTCAAGATGAAAATCCTGTCCAATTCTGCTCCAAAGGGAAGCAACGTTTCCTTAGGTAGTTGCTTGTTGCCTTTGCTACTCCTTGTGGAAGAATGGCTCTACTCTAACATGTCAAAACAAAAACTGCCTTTCACTCAGAATATAGCAGACTAAAGGTTAAATTAAAATTATTATTAAAAAGATGAGGAGAAAGCAAGCTGATTGTTAAACTTTAAAATACAAAAGATTCAGTATGTGGAACTTCCACTTAATGTTGTTCATATGACAAATAAGAATAAGACTTGATTCCTTGTTTATATTTTGGTTTTCATTCCTCCACTTTCCTTAAGTGTCAAAGTCCCACACAGAATAAGAAAGTTAAAAAAAAGTTCTGTGGATCATGGCATCCCAGCTAAAATAGCTTAAGGGTCCAGCCATACTTAGAATCATAGAATCATAGAGTGGTTTGTGTTGGGAGAGATATTTAGAGACCATTTAGTCCAAACCCCCTGTCTATGTTTGGGACGTCAGCAACAAGATTTGGTTGCTAGAGCCCCGTCCAACCTGATCTTGAACATTTTGAGTGATGGGGCATGAACCATCACTCTAGGCAACCTGTACCAGTGTTTTACCACCTTCTGTAAAAAAGTTCTTCTTTATGCATATTCTAAATGGACCCTCCTTCAGTTGCAAACCATTATCTCTTGTCCTGTCRCAACAGGCCCTGCTAAAAMGTTTTTATTCTAGGCCTCCTTTCAGTACTGAAAGTCTGAAAGTGCTTCATTCAAATAATTTATAAAAAGCACACTTTAACATTCTACTGTCATCTTTTTAATTATCTTGTGAGTACTGGTGGTTTTCACAGCCTCCTTATCATTTGGGATATAAATACACTTTTTTTTTTGTTCCTATCTGAAGCACTTAATCCAGGTGTTTCAATAGCAGGGCATGTTTACTGAAGGGTCATTTATCAAAATGGGAAGGGTTCTTTGAAAGCCATCTGCCTTAATTAGAGATAATTTTACTTGAATTAATTGAAAAGACATGAATTCAGCTGTGTGGAAATTACTTTTCTGCCAGCCTCATACATGCCTTGTAAAGGTCTGTTTGGTCCTCGGTCTTGAAAAACAGATAGGCTTTAATAACAGAAGGTAAGGAATTGCTTTTAGGGCTTAGATTGTTTGAGATAATAATTTTTCTTAACTGGCATGTAAGCTCACTGAAACCGTGAAATAATTTCCTTAGTATATTTGACAGAAWTTTGATTGAAATATGTCTTATTTTTTACCAATCTAGTCTCTAATTGTGAAGCCTTAGGATAGGAAGGCTGGTTTAGAGTCCCAGGCTAAGGTCATCAGAGGRTTGTAGATATGATTCATACTTTCATAAAATAAAAATATATTGAAAGGCTAAAGAAATTAAACCAAATTAATCCCATGTGTAATTCTACTGACTTGTTTAGACTTGTAAGTACTATGAATTTTACCTATTAGGCCTATTCTCCTAGGAAAAAGAGATGCTTTGAAACAGGAAGATGCCTTGAAAGTCAGGAAGGTTTATAAATTGCTGTAATCAATGGTACCCTTTCAGTAGAGATGCAGAGGAAATAAATAGGGTCATCTAAAAGTAGGAAAGGAGAAGCAAGTATAGTACTGCAGATGAACCCTTCACCTGAAGCATAAAATTATTCCAAAATAAGTTCTAAGGAAAAAGATTCTTAATGTGTATTGTGGATWATCATACAGCCTATTTGTTTCCTTCATTACTCCTCAAGAAATTGTGGGATTGTGGATTTTTGATTTATTTGATTTCTTTCATCGGTGATATGATATTCAATGGAGCAGTGCTTAGCTGGCTCATTTTCAGAAAATCTAGGAACAACTAGATGCTTACTCCCAAATGCTTACACCCCTATATTCCTTATTCTGTGGAAAAAGCTTTTCCCCCAGTTTCAGAACTTTCTGGCAGAGRATTAAATCCATCTATTCTGATCCTTTGTGCCTGTGGGTGTAAAAACCCTGCAGTCTCTGACCATGATGCAGTCACAGATTTTCTGGTGCACAGGTAGCCAGGGACTGCATCATCAGGCATCCAGTCCCCTGGAGATAACTCTTATCACCAAACGT